CTCCCCCCTCCCCACTTTCCCCTCTTTCCAACCTCCGGATTTTGCTCAGCGTGAGCTTGACGTGGGGGAACTTCTCTCTGAAGGTCTCGTTCATGTCCTTTTTGAGGTCTGAGGGCTTCACGTACTCTATGACTGTGGTCTGCAACAGAGCACGTGTGGGCTGGCCCTTCCTCTGCCTCCACAGCATCTGTGCCTCGCAGCGGGCATGTGGGGGCAGGGCCAATCTGGCCGGCACAGGCCTGTCCCCCTGCAGCCTTGTGGGCACCGAGGATGGGCGCCTTCTGGTAACCACTGGCTGCCGGGGTTCCTGGGCCCCTGCCCACGACCCGTCCACTGCCCTGGCCTCAGGCTGGTGCTCACCATGTAGGATGCGAAGATGAGGACACGCTTGTGCTTGCCGCAAGGCCACTGAGGGTCATCCAGGAGGTTGGGGTTGTACTCAAGGGCATCACTCACATCGCTCCCTGGAGGCAGAGGGCAGTCCTGAACCCATCAGAAACTAGGGTCTGGTCCCCCAGTTTTGCACATCAAAACCTCCGGAGGAGGGTGGGTGGGAAGCATGTCAAGGCTCCAGGGCACCGAGGGTGCAGAGCAGCCAGGGCGGCAGGCTGAGGGCTGTCTTCCAGAGTGGTCCTTGGGCTTGCCCGGCCACTGAGCTCATGGACAGCACGATGTTCCCGACTCTGTCCCAGACACCAGGCTCTCCTGGCCTGGGGACCATCCTCTGCCCCCACACCCATCAGACTCCATGCAGTACCTAGTTCTGTGCCTGCTGGTACGGACTTGATGGGGCCAGGCTTGTATCTGGACCCTGGCAGAGCCCGGGGGATGCTGGGCCGAGGCTGGGCTGCTGGGCCATAGCCATCATTCTTGGGTGTGACCAGGGCATTGGTGGGGTACAGGAACTTGGCGTAAGACACGACCTGGAGAGGGAGCTGCATCAGGCTCGCCCTGGGAGCAGAGGTGGGCTCAGTCTGTCAGAGATCATGAGGACAATGTGGGATGCGGGATGCAGGCCCCACGAGTCACTGTGTCCCCTGCCACCCCCCATCAGGACCACAGCCCTGCTCTGGGGTACACAATCCTGGAAGCAGAGGTAACAAGGGGCTATGCTGACTTGTCCCCATCAGGACCACAGCAAGCTCTGACGCACACCCCTAGGAATCTCCAGGCAGCCTTGAGCACTGTGCTGCGTAGAATCTTGATGCCAGCATTACCTTGTGCCAAGAACATTCCAGAATGCTGCCCTGGCTATCCTTACTGGGCTCTGCAGCAGAGCAGCAGCTCCCACCAGGGAGGCCTGTAACCCTGCCGGCCAGGGTCCCTGTGTGGCCACGCCCACTCACATGGCCACTTCATGGAGCAGCAGGTAGCTCACACCCCTCAATTCCCACACCTCGGTGTGGTGCGCTCGCCATAAACAGACGAGATGGCCGCTGATGGGACTCACCTTGCCATCCGCGCCCAGCTCCACGCCTTCTAGTTCAAAGACCATCTCGGAAGACACAGAGACGCCGCCTGACGGGTGCCTCTGCTTCAGGCCATCGGCCCTCAGGTCACTGCAGGATAGGAACATCTGGGGTCTGGAGTCGACACATGGGGCTGCCTACTCTCTACCTGCATATCCCCTGAGCCTGTGGGTCGAGTGGTGTCCAGCTGTGCTGTTCCTGTCAGGACACCACTGGGGAGGGGAGTCACCGTTGTGTGCCCCACTCCTTGAGGCCGCTGCAGCCAGGGCAGAACCTGCTGCTGGCAGCCTGGACACCTGGATGTAGAGAAGTGAGGCTCAAGCAGTTCTGTGCAGGCCCCGGAAACTGGCTACACACTCTCACCAAAAGATGGGACATGCTGGGTACTGACCACAGCCACATCACCACCAACAACACTTCCTTCCTGTGTAGCCTGTGTGCCGGCCTCACGGGCGGGACGTCCCCACACGGCACCTCCTTCCTGGGAGAAGTCAAGCACCGTCCAGCCCAACAGCCCCACACCATCTGTGCTGTCCCCGTGGCATACCACATGCAGCTCAGGTACCTCACACACCTGACCCGCAGGCCCTCTCCGTAGGGCAGGACAGAAAACGCCGCACACAGGGACCGCTTGGCACAGATGAGCACAATCCTGTGGGCACAGGAGGTCACGATGGGCGAGTGGGTGGGTGTATGACAGCACACAGACCACTCACTCTTCAGACACCCAGGTCTGAGGGACGCTGGTGGGAGGGGTCTGGAGCTGGGCTGTCAAGCTGTGACCTGGAGGTGTGGGTCAGGGCCTGAGCAGGGAGGGTGACAGTCCACATGGTCCGCTACACATGGCCCCCAGGAATGAATCTTCTTGGTCCACGGCCTAAGGGCTGGGCTGGTTTCTCAGGGCCCAGGTTCAGTGAGTAGACAGGTGGAGGGCATAGGACCAGGGCAGCTCCAGGAGTTCATGTGCCCACATGGAAGTAGAGGAGGGGCCTGTCCAGATTCAATACCTCCCTGAGTGGTCTACAGGGTGGCCCAGGAGAAGGGGCAGGGGCAAAAGGACCATCAAGGCTCCTCTTCTGGACACAAGTCATCACTGAGCCTGTCTGCATGTGGCAGAGTCCTTCAGGACACACTGGGTCCTGGGAGAGGGGCACCTTGGACCTGGGGTATTGTGCCAACTAGAGAGCAGATGTGGACTTGGGAGAGGCATAGAGATGGCCCATGGCAGGAGTCTGTGTGGGCATGGCGTGCCTGACTCCTGGGAGCACAGCCTTGTCCTCCAACCCCCAGGTGCCAGGCACCACGGACCCAGCTTGCTGCTGGGTGCCGCCCCAATGCCCCCCAAGCCCATCTGCCTGGTGCCGCCTGGAGCTACCTGCTACTCTTCGTGTCATATTGCCGCATGTTCTTGATGAAATGTGTCTTCTTCAAGCCTTTGTGTCTCGGGGACCCAGATATGTGCTTGGTTCTGCAAAGGAAACACAAGTCACCCCTCCTGCCCAGGCTCGCCCAGCCACCAGGGGGCAGTGCAGGACGGGCATATGTGGCCTTGGGATGGTGGCCCTGAGGATGCAAGTGCAGACAGATGCAGGCTGGACATGCACAGGGCAGTGGCCATTCAGAGGGCAGCAGATGCAGACTTGGATGTGCACGGGAGTCATGGACATGGACTTGTGCATGCATGGGGATGGTGTATGCTGATGTGGGTGTATATGTGTGGTAGACACTGACGGGGGCATCCACAGGGGGCAGTGGATGAAGATTCTGGCATACATGGAACAGAGGACATAGATGCAGGTGGGCAGGGCAGTGGACATGTGTGGGAGGTGGACACTGAAGTGGGTGTATAGGCTAGGGGTGGTGGACATGCAGGGGTGGTGGACATGCATGCAGTGCTAGACATGCCAGGGTGGTGGACATGCATGGCAGTGGTAGAAATGCATGGGATGTGGACATGCAGGGGTGGTGGGCATGCATGGGGTGGTGGACATGCATGGGATGTGGACATGCAGGGGTGGTGGACACGGATGCAGTGGGCAAGCTGGGCTGGCAGGCAGGCACCTGTGCATGGAGGCACACCCCACCACGTCCTCCAGGAACTCCAGGGAGCAGCGCTGGGAGGTGACGCGCCGTCTGTGAAGGTGCGCACAGAGAGCTGGTCAGGGACGTCTTACGGCCAGAGACGGTGCAGCGGAGCCCCTGACCTGCTCTACCCAGGAAGGGGGCCTGTCAGGCTTGTTCCATGTCGGGCAACGTTCTAGGGGAAGGGTGCCCTTCCCATGATGATGGCCCTATTTCTGGAGGCCTCTCACTTCTGAAGAAACCCCCTGCACTGAGTTTTAACAGAACCCTTCTCTTACATGGCATGGGTGACAAGAGCCACTGGAAAGAAACTAAATCTGAGAAGTAAATGCAGCATGACGCTAGCCCAGTATCCCCACCTCAATCGCAGAGGACAGGCCATGTGTCCACTCAGCCCCCACTGTTCATGGGTGGACCACCATTGGACAGGGTGGGGCTGGCCCATGGTCAGCTTGGACTGAGATAAGGGGCTTCCAGGGTTCTGGTCTGTGAGGAGACCAGCCTGCTGGCCCACTTCTGGGCTGAGAAGCTGGGCCAGAGGGGGATTTCAGGTACTGGAAAGTCAGAAGGCTTTGGAGCTGTGGGGGGAGACATTAGTCCCAGGTAGGGGTCCAAAAAGGCCCAGGTGGGGCTGGCCCAGGCAGGGAGAGCAGGCAGCTTTGGTGTGGAGGCGCCGTCCCCGAGTGGCGGTGGTGTGTGCCCTTGGGAAAGTGGAGTATGGTCCACAGGGCTGGCCCAGAGGTCCCACATGAGCAGCTGCTTCCTGGAGGCTCATTAGACTATAATTGTCCCATGAGGCCTGCAAGCTCCGGCCTCTCGGGACAGGAGTAGGTACTATCCAGCAGAGCCCCACGACCTGTTCGGCTGTTGTCAGCACTCCATGCCCTCAGCGGCTGACCGGTTTGCCCTACCACTGTGGGGCAGCTCCTGCCCAGCTCTGCCTCACGCCACACACTGCGTGGCTTCCTGCCTCCTTGGTAAGCCTTCTGCTTAGACTCAACCCTCACAGCACTCTAGCTGTGACTCCATCTCACAGGTGGGAAAACCGAGGCCTGCCCCAGGCCCCAATGCTTGTCCAGGAAGGCCCAGGAGAGGATACTGCCCTTTCCCGACTGAGTCCTGCAAGCCACACCCTGGGGGACAGTGTCCTTGTGCTCAAGGTCTGCGTTGGGAACCCAGTCTTCACTCCAAGGATGAAGATGCTTGAGGTCCCGTGCCGCCGGCTGCCAGCCAGGGCTCTGATGTCCCCACTGCCCTACGGGAACGGGTGCTTGCCGGGGAAGGGCACCAGGGCCAGCCATGGACACAAGACCATGTGCATTCTGAAAATTGGAACCAACACGTCCTCTGGGAGAGTGGAGTTAGAGGCGGCCCAGGAACGGGAATAACCATGTCAGTCTCTAGAGGGTGCCGGAGAACAAGGCCGCTTAGGGCAGGTAAGCTGAGCAGGAGAGGCAGAGAGATGGAGAGACCACACAAAACCCCAGAAACTGCCTGGACCCGGCTGGCCCTGGGCTTCTGGGAAGCTACATGGCTCCACACTGAGGCTTCATGCCGGTGCCAAAGCCCCAGGCCTCTTCTTGGACACCTGTTCTGGCCCCCAAGGGATGAGGCGTCTCCCACCACCTCCCCCACCAACACGACCTCATAAAGCCCATCACTGCCAGCCTCCGCCAGGACAGCGTACAAAGCTGGGCCACTCAGCCACTCCGGAGCACCCAGTCACCATCAGGGCATAGTGAGGACAGTGGTCTCAAGTGTCACATTCAGATTCTGCCTGGGATTGAAGCCCAAGTCCAACCTCAGGCCACTGCTGCACCCCATGAAGTCCTCAGCACACAGCTGACCCTCCCTTCAGTCACCTCACAGAGCCCTCCTCACAGAGGGAGAAACTGAGGCGCAGAGAGGCTCAGGACCTGTCCTTTCTCGGTGCCCAGTCCAAACAACTGCTGACTGACATCCATACTACTGCAGTAGCCTGCTCACCCACCCAGGCCACAGGGCAGTGGAGGGTCTCGACCTGAGCCACCTGTCAGGGAAAGGCCAGACCCCAAAGGCCAGCAGGGGTCCTGGGCAGTGTCTGAAGCTGACAGGGCCGAGGGGACCTGACCCCTGTGTCCAGGGAGTGGAGAGGCTCAGGGCACCCAGGAAACTGCTCTTCAGAGTATGACAAGATCGAGAAAAACCTTGGTCCCCACATTGGGGAGCTGAGAGGCCCCGGTGCCTATCACTCACATCCAAAGGGCTCAGCCCACCTCAACTCCTCAGTTAAAGGCGACCCTGACCCCAGATTCTTGGGCTGACTGGGCTCCAGGTGATGACGATGTCTAGGTCTTGGTTGATGGAGTCTCAGGTGACTCTGAGTCAAGAACTGACAAGACTTCAGGTGACTCTGATGCCCACCCCCCTTTTCTCAGGACTAGACTGGTAGAGTTTCAGGTGATCCTGGGCTACATTGGCCTCAGGTGACCCTGGGTTGACGTGGTCCCAGGTGACCCCGGCACTGGGCTGACATGGTCCCAGGTGACTCTGGGCTCACATGTCCCAGGTGACCCCGGCGCTGGGCTGACATGGTCCCAGGTGAC